CCTAGCCTGACTTTGTTCAATATAGCATTAGAGAAGGTAGTTAGAGATGCAGGCATCAACACAAGGGGAACTATATTCTACAAGTCAGTTCAAATTTTGGCATTTGCAGATGATATTGATATAATTGGTAGAACAAAAAATCTATGAAAGAAGCTTTTCTTAAATTGGAAAGAGTAGGGAAAAAGTTGCATCTACAAATAAACCAAACTAAAACAAAGTACATACCGGTAACCAAGAAAGACTGCTAATGGACCTACATATATTGAAGTTGACTCATATAAATTTGAGGCTGTATGTAGTTCCACTTACCTTGGATCAGAAGTTAACTGTAAAAATGACATCAGTAATGAAATAGAAAAGCGTGTACTTGCGGCAAATAAATGTCTCCATGGCCTTAGGAAACACCTGAAATCCCAACTAATACCCAGGAAAACCAAAACTATGATGTATAAAGTACTTATAAGATCAGTGCTATCTTATGCCTCTGAGACCTGGCCACTGTCAAGATCGGAAGAAAGACTGTTAAGTATATTTGAAAGGAGGATCCTGAGATATATCTCTGGACCAGTGGAAGAAAATGGAATATGGAGGAAGAGGTATAACCATGAGCTATACAAACTATTTAATGAACCAGACATTATTGGATTTATAAAGGTGAAAAGGCTTGAATGGGCTGGACACATAATACGTGCCAGCGAGTGTAGAACGATTAAGAAAATACTTAATACTAAACCAGAAGGAAATAGGAAAGTGGGAAGACCAAGATTGAGATTGGAAGAATGTGTGGCAGGACATAAGAATTTTGGATGTAAAGAACTGGAGGAATGTAGCATCGAATGGAGAAGAATGGCGAGCAATCCTGAGGAAGGCCAGGGCTCACAAAGGGCTGTCGTGCCGGTGATGATGATGATGATGATTATATAAACCTAACACGGAGCATATAGTGATTAAAAAGTAGGGACAAAGCCTTGTTACCTGTACGAATGGATCCATATCAAAACGAAATCTTGACTCACTATATTAATTCGTCAAAAACCAAATGTATACATTTAATATATCAACGTTTATATCACACCCTCACACTACACAAACTTTCACCGCACCCATAACGTACATAACGTACCGTTGCTTATATTTTGAGAACGCAAATTTTAAACTCAACCGCTGGATATACGCGTAGCCAATGTTCCAGCATGAAACTTTTTTTACTATTCCCATCCTAAATGTATCTTTATTTCCGTGTGCAATATTTGCAAATTTTAAGATATCTTATGCATAAAACCATCTAAATATGATAAATATTCTTAACAGAATTTCTGTACTTTAATCTACATATATTATATGTATATATGATATTATTATTGTGGGGTAGTGATAGGGAAATTAAGTTTGGCGAAGGGTACTGTAGTCCAGAAGCATTCCATTGCATTTAGCACATAATGAAGACCGATTATGAGGAACAATTAGAACGCTCTCTTTGCTTGCAGAAAATCTACGATACGTAAAGATTATAGTCTCTCGAGATGTGAAGCAATATTGGTCCGTAGGTAGATACTAGGGGATGGGTCCAAACATTTCTGAGGAAGTGTTGCCTTCATTCTCTGTCTACAATACAGAAATACCACGTTCCGCCGAAATGAATCTTCCAAATTACACGGCGTCACACCTGACAAGCCCGCAATCCCAATGTTCACCTCAGCATCTCACACATTAAAAGAAGTTTCGAAAAAGAAATCTGAAAATAAAAGAAATTACGTGTCACATATGGGAATTTTCATTCCATCGATGGCACTAGTGTGAGGGCAGATTTACAAAAAATCGCAGCAATGAATGATACAACTCAGTCGTGTGATGTTCATATTTTGTTCAAACTGTACTGGTGTTTACAAATGGCCGCCGCCAAATTTGTAAATCTTCGTACTAAGTACCGTAGTGATCTTGCACATTATAAAAATGACACAGGCAGTACAAGATATTCTCCTGCCAGGAGTCGTTGAATTGTATGTGAAAACTACAGAACCTTCAGACATTACAGAGCTTGGTTCACCAAGGTACATTTATTGACCCATCTTAAAAATCCCTAAGTTAATTTTCACAAATTATTTTGTTTCTCAGCTCGAAAATTGTGACACTTATTATGTTAACTGCAGACATGACTTAAGAAAACAAATGCAATCAAAATATGTTAGAGGATCGAATTCTACCCACAAATTTCTCAACTAACGTCGAAAAAAAGGCAGTGAGAAAACTCAAATATAGGCAAAAATCACTAGAAATCTGCAGTCTGTGCTTAAATATTAAACATTTCTTCTCATATATTTTTAACATTTTTCCTCGAAATGAAACATTGGAATACTTCTGAAGAAGGATAACTTCAACAGTTACAGCTGAACTTATACATACATATAAAATAATCATTCAAAATTAAGTAAAACAAAATTGTCAGTATTGAAGTGCTGAAATAAATTAGGATGTTTCTTAATACAATTATTGACTTTCGACATCATCCCTCGTCTTGTTTTTATTTATTTAAAAAATTTCATAAACTGGATCCTGCCTCCACCCTCAAATAAAAATCCTAATCATTTGAGTCCATTCAACAGAGCTAGTCCTTATATCCAGACACCAGAACAAAACATAAGCCAGGATATATGAACCTTGTGTTTAGTTCTTGTGTCTGGAGACAGGGACTAGCTCCACTGAACCTTCATTTCTTCAAATCACTTATATTTTAATTTTGCAATTGTAAGCTTTGGCAGAATTACGTAAAATATTTGCAACAAAGAGAAGATAATAACCACTTCATTCATTTTTCTGTTATTGGCGTTCTTATATAAAAGGACAAAATGTAATTACGGTCCAGGCACAAAACTAAATTTTTGTCTTGTACCATGAGCCACTAGGTCATTATACTGTTGATTAGAAAGAAGAAGCAGAAAATTGTGAAAAAGGGAGAAGATTTATTTAAGTCTTACAGCATTCAAATAGACCTTATTCACTCTTAGCCTTTGAAGGTCCTCCTCCTCACTGCAAGGCAGCAGTTCTCTCATAATTACCACAAGCAAGAATGGGTTGCCACTCTCGCTGTGCCAAAGGACTCCTCTGCTGAGAGTATCATTGTGGTCTTTGCTGTAACCCTGGTAAGGGGCCCTCATATGATGCTATCAGCTGGAGCCAGCGGATCCAAGGTTTTTTAAAGAGGTGTTACTCCTCTATCACTGCCCAAATGTCCTGGCTTGTGACAGGCCGGGCCTGGCCTCCTACTTTTAGGTCCAGGTTGGCTGGGTTACATCAATATAGGCCATAATTAATTCCTGATGCAGTTTGCAAGTATTTTATTTTTCCTCTGAAAAGATTTGATTAATGGCACAACTGAGTGCAGAGTGTATACACCACTGCACTGAGCAATTCTACTTAGCATTGTATTTGGAACATTAAAATTCTCAGAAGCAGTACACAATGTCATACCTTTCCACACAGCTTCAGCAGCATTGTTAAATCCTTTCTCATTTTCTTGAGACAAACATGGTCTCCCGACACCTTTGTTACTTTCTAGCCTCAGAAAAAAGATAGAAATGAAAGAATACATTCTCATACCTAGTAAGCATAAAAAACTTCTGAAATGTAAAGAGGTATAGCCAACCATGTAACCAGCCATACAAGCTGATAGGGTTGTGAGCTGTCAAGGCTCCCACATTTTCTAGACAATTGGCTCACAGATGGCGGTGAGGTTGTCAACCTTATGTGCCAGCCACCTTTTACCCCTTGGAAGATACTTGGTACTCATTTCTATTAGAGGCTGAGTCGACCTTAGGCCCATAGTGCAGCTGGAAGAATTAAGTCAATTGAAAAATCCAGTGACCTCATTGGGAATGGAACCCGTGACCTTCCTGCTTGTTGCACACTGTCTCCACCAACTATGCTACCGCGGGCCCACAACTTCTGATAGGTATAGGTCTGAAATGAGTCCAGGAGACAGGACACATATACATCAAAAACTCCGTTTTTTAATAACTTCCATGCTGATTATGATGGAAATGTTGCAGCTTTATACCTTCAGATAGTATAAAATGTGTTGCCACTTATGTAAGAAATATGACTTGTGTTATTAACAACAGAATAACTTAAAAATACTTAGATGACTTGTAAACAGAAACTTTGCTCCAGAAAATAACTCTTCCAGTGACACTAAAATTATAATGAGCCATTTCCTGCATGTTGCTAAACCTAATTTTCTTTTTTCCAAAAGTTTACCACAAATTTTTGAGGCAGGCCATGGCACAAAATTGTCCATGATAAAAACTTTTCCCCTGTTAAGCCTTTTATAAATAATAATACTTACTCTATGCTCAGAAATTCAGAAATTGATATGTGAGATAAAATTAAACCTCTACTCCCAGATCATTACCACATATTGAATTTGAAACATAAGCTTCATATTTTTAATTTCAAAGCTTCTTTACAACAGTGTGACACATAACTTTTATCTTGGACTTTATCTATCCAGCATGTTTATTAACACAACTACATTTCAGTTATTGGTTCTATTTCCTTCTTCAGGTGAACAGGAGATGAGATCAAACATACGCTTGTCAGGCCCATTGGTAGAGCAACTCCCATTTCTCAAAACAGAAAAATATTTTGAAGAACGCATGCTAAATCTATAATTTTAAAAACGTGAGACTGTCCCTTAGAAACTGACACCTGTAGTCTCTTCATCTGATTTTCTCCCTTCTTATTCAGTGACACATGATTGTTTGTCTAATTTACGTATACATACATATAAGTGTTCCTCTTTCTGGTTGTGATGCTGCACAGTTTCACACAGTTCTTCCTTGAAGACTAGATTTGCTACAGTAGTTTAGTGTTATGCTAAGTCTAAATTTTTCTGACAATATTGTATTACAATAAACATGAATGTTATTATGGGTACTGTCCTTAATTTGAGATTTTTTTAAACAAACAAAAATATTTCAGAAACTGGATTTGTTTTTGTCATCAGATTTAAGAGAGGATCAGTCATTGATTTTAGCCCTTTCTAATGGGATCAAATGAGTAAGAACTTTTCTTTTATTCCTTCCCTTTTTCATTGTAATCTGGAGAAAGTCGTCTGATGTTTAGGCAGACACAACAAATTGCTTCCATCTTTGGGGTTCAAGAAGAAGCTAAAAAAGAAACCAGCATGAAGCAGGCAGCAAGCACCATGCTTCATGCTGTTTCTTGAATAGCTTACTTTTCAACCCAGAATATGGGTGGTTATATGCCCCCCCCCAAAAAAAAAACATCAATTGATTTTCAACAGACTACATGGCTTTATGTCACAGTGTCACAGAAGACAGAACTCTTCACAAAATATAATGCTGCAATCTAATTGTGGTCAGATGTGTGAGGTTTTCATGGCAGTCCATATNTAGTCTCTTCATCTGATTTTCTCCCTTCTTATTCAGTGACACATGATTGTTTGTCTAATTTATGTATACATACATATAAGTGTCCCTCTTTCTGGTTGTGATGCTGAACCTAATTAGGTTCTCTGAATTGATGGAATGTTGACATGGTGCAGCAGCTAAAAGGCTCTGAAACTAACTGGAATCTATTTGAATACTTTAAATTCAAAAAGGTAGTGTATATTTTTAGCTGGTTTGATGCCCATGAACGTCTCCAGAAATTACATCAACAAGCCATTCTTGAAGCTCGGGAACTGCGGGAAGAATCCGTGAAAGAAATGATGATATCCCATAATAAAGTAAGTACCGGATTTATTTGTACTAAGAAATTTAATATTTGCACATGAATGTGTTATTTAAATAAATAAATAAATATACAAAAATATGTGATGAGTTCAGAAGAATATTATGGTAAGCTGGGACTTTCTGCCTTTACTTCTATTGCATCTACATGACAAGTTTAGTTTCTTTGTATCTCATACCAGTTACTTATGAAGTTATTGTTTATATATTTCAGATACCTATTCTTGTTCATGAAGCTATTTGTATATCTGTTTGGAGAGAAAAGGTTTTGCCACTGCTACTAAAAATAACACCAGAGCCTAACAGTGTGTTTATTCCATATATGGTTGTAAGTATAGGGTTTTCTGCACAGTAAGTGTTATAATATTAGGTTGTGTTCAAGAAATTTAACACATTTCTTGCCATGTCCCTGTACTGGGATTTCACTTGCTGAGTCAGCCATTTCTCCAAGAGAACTTGATATTGAACTTACTACATTCAAAATGCAAATGGAAGAAAAGAAGTGGAATACATTTTTTTCATTGCTGTTTTATTTTGATTATTTTGAGCTTCAACAAGCTACATTTAAGACTATTTCTCAATTTAAGTTACATCTATAGGAGAAAATGATTTACATGCACAGTGACAACAGCCTTTCACATGATACTGGCACTGGAAAGCAATAAAGTTCAACCTGCTAGGTGAGAAGCATGCCAGTGAATATGCTAAGTGTGGATCTGCTCTTGGAGAGGAATGCTCAGCCTGCCTGTAATGCTTCCCTAACACAAAACCCACAATCTCCAGCAGGTTTGCTACAGCAGTGACAGTCTCAGTACCGACAGTGTCATTAAATAACCAAAAAATAAATAAATAAATAAATAAATAGAGCAGTGACACATCTGACTTGTGAGATTTGATGTACTCACAGTGATGAATACAGTGAAACTACCTTTTGAAGTTTCTTTTGGGAATAGTGGATTTGAGTACTAACTGAAGAAAATGTTAACTCGGGGCATGGGCACCTTTGCAGGGGAGTGGGGAGCTCAGCCCTCCCTATAGATATTTTAAAAAAGAATCAGAATTGAAAAAAGGAAGAAAATGTATCAAATATTAATAGAAAAATAATTATTTTAAACAATTATTCATCTATCCTCAATACCATAGGGCTATCAGTAAAAACAGTTTTAAATGGTTTAACTATAACTTTGTAAGTAGAGTCTTTTCAGTTGTACTCTTTTTTTTTTTAATTAGTTATCCCTGCTTTGAAAAAATCCTAGTAACACCCAGAGAAAGAAAAATTGAAACTGCAATTACTGATTATGCACCATTGAAATTGAATGTTAAAAGAAGAAAAACCTTGAGCTGAGGAACACTGAAATGAGGCTTCACTGTATTAAGGTTATGGTCTTCTGGGATGTCACGACACATAGTCTGGTAGTTAGGTACAAATGTTTTGGAAAATCTGCTTTCTGCATGGTTAGCCTCTACACTGAATGTGGCGACAGGAATTTTCTTTAAAACACTGGTACCAATCTATCGGACTACGTGTTGTCACATCCCAGAGAAAATATGAACATCTGATTTGCATTCAAGTATCTGTTGCAATAGTTTCTGGAGATAATAGCATACTTTCACTGTGTATGTATCATCTAATGAATGTTTCAGCTTTTCCATGAAGCTACTGCTATTGAATTTATGGAGACATTAGTCTATCATTCAGAATGTTGTGAAGCTTTGGGCGAAAATTCCCTTGAATTGCTTGACTACTGTTCCTCAGCAATCATAAGACTCCTTGCCCAGAGTGAGAGAGAAGTTCCTGAGCCTTCACAGACTCTGAATGCCTCTCAGGATCTGGGACAGAAAGAGATGACACTTGCCTTCAACATTGGTATAAAATGTATTTCCATAATTGGATGCATTGCTCAGCACCTGGACAGGTAAGCATACTTTAAAGTGATGCTTTTTTACTTCAAGTTGGATTTAAGGTTCTCACAGCAATGACTACGACAATGACAACTTTTGGGTTGTAATGCAGTGTAGTTCAGAGAGAGCCCGATGTTTCAGAGATCCATATCACCTCTGTCTTCAGGGTTGAAGTATAAGACAACCAAGAAACCAGCAGAAGTAAGCCAAGCAGGTTCCTCAGAAATGTTTGGCTGTCTTCGAACCGCATGGCATTACAGCGCCAAAAACTTCCTGGCAGCTATGTATATCCCTCTCTAAGCTTTCCTTCACTCCTGCCAGTTGTCACTTGTATTCTGGCTCTTATTCCCTTCTTCTTGTGTTCTCGGTTTATTAGGGATATTGACAAAAAGGAGATGTTCTATTTAGGTAATGGGGAGGAAACAGCCAACTTAAACTCACACCACCTATGTTCATTCCATCCCTTACACAAATATGTCTACCACGTATAAAGAACTGTTAATATTTATGCAGTTGGTTGTTATTCAGGATCACAAGAGTTTCCGTATTTTCTGACTCATAATCATATTTTGAAAACCGAGGCATAAGAAATGAACCTGATCTTCTAGTTGTTTGTATCTTCAAAGCATATATTCACAATTAAACTCTGATTCTGTAAAATTTAGAACTTTATATAGAACATTATTCCAACATTATTTAAATCAGGAAAGAAGCTGTTTGTAGTAAAACTCATGTACTTAGTGGAAATATCAAATATGTCCCAGAGTTTAGATAGCTCAGTCACTGTAGTGACTAGGCTATATATGAGCTGGACAACTGAAGAATGGGGTTTTGATTCATGGTAGGAGCAAGAATAATTCAGACTGGTTCTAGGGTCTACCTATTCCTAACCAGTGTGTCGGGGGCTCCTTCCACGGGGTTAAGTGGCTGGGATGTGAAGTTGACCACTCACCTCCATCTGCTGATGAGGTTATGAATGTGTGGAGCTAAACCTCCACTCTCCCATATTACTTCATGGCATGCATATAAAGATCTACCTAATATTTGTAAATGATTGCTGAAAAGACCACAGATCCAGAACAGATGCTTAAAAAGGCCAACAAAAATTAGCTTTCGCTATAACATTAATTCTAAACTTCAGATTGTGATACTACCTAGTCTGGGACATGGATACCAACGTTTCAGAGGAACATCCTGCCTTCATCTTCAGGGCTGAACTGAGTGAGCTGAAGATGCAGTCAGGATGGATGATTGTTACCTAGAATCTCGAGGCAAAAAGAAGATAGACCCCTGTCCAGGCTTTAGTGTATGCAATATCATTTTAACTTCAAAGATAATGTCATTTAATTGTCTGAAAACAAAAACCATTTGTTAATCAACAGCTTGCCACTGAGTGCAACATCACATATGTTTGTTAACCATGATATCCCACTTCTTCTGGCAAACATCATTGAACAGAAACCATGGATTAAAGATGGCCCATCTGGTAAAACTCTCAAGTTTGAAGGTGAGTAATATATCAAGAACAAACATGTAATACTTTAAGCTCTCACAGTAAGTGAAAGCAATAAAATCTTCCCAGGTGACCAGCATAAGTCCAGTGTTTCAGATATTTGCTATGTCTCTAGCATGGAATGACCATTTGCTGATGATGGATTTGAATTGCTGTGGCACGTAAGCTGAGATTTCATGGCAGCATTGAGAGTTATCAATAAGAAATTTGCACAGTGATCCACAGTAATCTGGAAGTTAGCCATTCTCTTTTGCACAATGGATATCCCCTTTTGAAATATTTCTTCTTTTATATGGTTATACCCAGTCATACCATTCTTAAACTAGTATAGTATCTGTTGGATTTGAGGTTCCCACGGCACTGACTATTAAATTATGGTCTTCTAGAATCTAATGCAATGTAGCTTTGAAAGAGCCCAACATTTTGGAGGAACATATTTCCTTCATAAACAGGAAACCATGCCAAGGAAGCAAGGTTGAGTTAAGCTGCTTCTTCTGTTTTCTTATTTGGTCTACTCTTCAGCCCAAAAGATGAAGGTGATATGTTCCTCCAAAATGTCAGACTGTCTCCAAACCACATGGCTTTACATCCCACAAGGCCATAACTTCAGTATAGTGTCTTGTAATATTTGTTGAATGCTCTCTTTCACATCGTTTTTGACTCACTAGTAACTACTATCATGTCATTACTCATTAACTAAGGATGGGTGTTCACCAGTTAAAGGAAGAGCATTGAGGGGACACAAGTTATGGAACCACTACTCTAACTGCACAATTATTACAGTACTGTTATTGCACAGACAGATTGTAACTGTAACTGTAATTTTGTAATTTGAACGTTCTCTCTTTAATGTTTTAGTTGCTGTACTATACAAAATGTCCCAGGAGGAAAGGTCAATATTCTGGGAGGTCATATTGTCGGTCATTCTAAGCAAAAAAGTGTACATGTACATCTGTCCTATTCCAAAAAATTTCCGAGATAGAGCTGTTTCACTGTACAGTACACTGTACTCTGTACTGACGAGCAACATGACATGTCCTCACATGAGTTGCGAAGTCCATTGATGTTGATGGTGGAATTTTCAGAAATATATAATACTAGGTAAACTGTACCAACTTTGTCACTTGAACAATAAATACTGGTATTAGAAACAGTAGGTAATGTCTCTTTCTTATCAACAATTTTGGAACTGTGCAGTGAAACAACTCTATCTCAGAAACCGTTTGGAATAGGATGTGTACATATACACTTTTTTGCTTAGAATGACCAATACCATGAACTCCCAGAATATTGACCTTTCCTCCTGGGACACCTGTATATTGCAATATTGACAGAGAAAGCAATCATGCCCCAGGTAAAGACTAGACACTCCTGGATATATGGTATTATCTGCTTCATTGATCAACACAGCGCGCCACGAACACCAACAGGATGACATCAAAGAACCCTCATCTCAAGAACGACAAGGCGGCACATGTTCAGCCCCCATAAAGGGAAGTAATAAGAAAGAGGACACAAACCTACTTGGTTTATAAATCCTAACAAAATCTTAACAAACCAATTACAAAAATTTTAATATATCAAGACATCCGCTCTAGTTACAAAAACTTTAGATTTTATATCCAATCATATATTATTAACATTATATGTATATTTTAATGCTCAGAACATATATTGTAATGGTAGCTACCAATTGTATTGATGTCCCTCTTGATGATGCTCTCTAAGGACCAAAACATATAAGGGCATGAAGAACTGAAATAAGGAAAATCTTCACCAGTCACACTGGATGGAACTGTTTAACTTTTATAATATTGTTAGTGTAATGGACCAAAATGAAACAAATCAAATTTTGAAACTTAAAATTTCTTCTTCATCACTGTTGTGTGCACACTAAATGTTTAAACCAATATTGGTCATCTTCAGGTGACTAAAATTGCTGAAGAGACTTCTGTCCTTCTGTCCATGAGTTCAGTTTTTTGGGGTATGCCCTCATCTCTTTGTCCGTGTGTCCCATGGTGATGGGTAGTATACTCGTACTATTGTGTCATGTATAGCTGCAGTTACATATACCAGTGATGTAGAAGAGATTTTAACCTTTAAAACTTTTAAAGGTTTTAACAAGCAAGTTCCATGTGAGACGAATAATAATTAACAGGAACAAATAAGTGATGTGCAACAGGATGCTACGATGTGGTACTATGAACAGTCCTACATTCACCTTGGTGTTCCAGACTGCAAGTGGCAGGAGATAAAGGGTGAAGATAATATGAAAGTAACTCGTGCTGAGGCCCAAACATGGCTTGCACTCAGACAACTTTTGTTGGATCCTCGCTGCCCTGCACACTATGACATCAACGAGTATCACAAGAATCAGCTTCTTAAGGTCAGGATACAGTTTGAAATGGAAAAACAAAATTCAAGAGGCATAATAGAATAATTTGAGCTTATATATTGACTACACAGAGAGGGAGTTTCCTATGAGTAAACATGAACTGCTAATTATGAAACAAATTTCCCTATATTTCTGACAGTGATTCCTCTGCAGTTCTGATTTCTTTCTGTGTTATGAAAGAGCACTGTAAAATATGAGTAAGGTTGCATCTTTTTAAAACATCTGTTAAGAAATTTGTCTACTAATCTTTTCTGTTTTTATTTTTTTTGGAAAAGTAAAGATACTCTATCCCTCAATTTTTTAGATATTGTGCCTTAAATTATTATACTATATACTGTTGATTATATTAAGTACTTCTCTGAACAGTAAGTGCAGTACAACTCCCACTTAATATTCCTCAATTCAGGGTTTTCCCTCCTTTAACATCCAAGTCCATAATCTCAGTGTTAAATTCCCTGCATTTATGATTTTCCTTAGTTTTGTGCTCCTCAAAGAAACCTTAAATGGGAGAGCATCACTGTAGCCAAGAAGTACAAAAATATTAATAATAAAATCATAAAATAAAATAAAAATAAAAAAATCATTAAAGATAGGAAACAGATGTTTTGAAAATGTGGCACAGTTCAGATATTTGGGAACAACGATAACAGATCGAAACCTGATTCAGGAGGAAATTAAGAGGCGATTGAACTCAGGTAATGCTTGCTACCATTCAGTCCAGAACTTTTTGTCTTCTTGTCTGTTGTCCAAAAACATAAAAATTAGAATATACAAAACTATAATTTTGCCTGTGGTTCTATATGGGTGTGAAACTTGGTCTCTAACATTAAGGGAGGAACATAGACTGAGGGTGTTTGAGAACAGGGTGTTGAGGAGAATATTTGGACCGAAGAGAGATGAAGTGACAGGAGGTTGGAGAATACTGCATAATGAGGAGCTTCATTACTTGTACTCTTCTCCAAGTATAATTAGAATGATCAAGCCAAGGAGGATGAGGTGGGCAGGTCATGTAGCACAAATGGGGGAGACGAGGAATGCATATAGGATATTGGTTGGAAAGCCAGAAGGAAAGAGAACACAGGGAAGACCAAGGTGTAGATGGGTGGACAATATTAGAATGGATCTTAGAGAGATAGGATGGGATGGTATGGATTGGATAGATCTGGCTCAGGATAGGGACAAGTGGAGGGCTCTTGTGAACACGGTGATGAACCTTCGGGTTCCATAAAATTCTGGGAAATTCTTGAGTAGCTGCAGAATTGGCAGCTCCTCAAGAAGGGCTCAGCTCCATGAGTAAGTAAGTAAGTATATTGTGCATCATTAGTGAATAGATTATGGTAAGACTATACGAGACTGGATACATTATGTAATTTAATTATAACATAAATACAGTAAGATGTAAACATATATGAATCTTTTTTTTGTGTGAGTTATTTTACAATGCTCTGAATATCATCAACTGTATAGCATCAGATGGTTGAATGACAGATTACTTGGGAAAGCTCTAGAAGGAAGTGGTCATGGCCTAAGTAAGGTATTATCCTGGCATTTGCTTGAAGCTGAGGTAGACCTGAACTGGTGTCTGATCTGCTCATTTTTCTTGATTATTATTCGTATGATGGGGTAAGACTGAGCTGTATGGCACTTAGGCCATAAGGGGGCCCAATGAATGTCATATACTTGTATAGTACACTTTGTGTCATGCATATTCAAGCAGTCATGTCCATTGGTGACACATTCAGTGTTGAAATATGTAACCTATGAATAGAGAAGGTTGTATGTTTGATTGCCAATGAGGTCACTGGATTTTTCAATTGACCTTCCAGCAGTGCTATGTTCCTGGGGTCGACTCAGCCTCTAACAGAAATGAGTACCAGGAATCTTTCTGGGGGTAAAAGGCAGCCAGCCAGCACATAAGAATGACAACCTCACTGCCATCTGTCAATTGATTGTCTTAGAATATGTGGGATCCTCAGCGTCTCTCAACCCTATGGGCTTCCATGGTCTCTTACAAGGATATTTTTACTTTTACCAGTATAGTAATTGGGCTATGAGCTGGACCATCAGGGTTTGATTCCTGGCAGGAATAAGAGATTTTTCTCTTATCCATGGCATCCAGACCAGTTCTGGGGCCTACTCACCTTCCTATATGGGTGCCTCTGTCCCAGGCAGTAAAGCAGCAGGGGCATAAAACTGACCACTCATCTACATATAGTGCCAAGGTCAAGAATGGTGGAGCTAATACTCCACTCCCCCATATGCTTTCATGGTGTAATGCTTAATTAAGTAAGTAACCACACAGATAACTCTACCACCCCACCTTTATGAATATAGTGTAGGAACATCCCACATATTATCACGCATTTCTGCAACGCTCACTATTCACCTCACCTTTCACCCTAACGCGCGCTAACCAATCAAATTGCTTCCAACGTCCGCATTTATACAGCGCTTGCTGCTAGCCTGCATCCACATCATTACGTACGCTAGCCAATCAGCGCTCAGCAAATTTTCGCTCCGCCATCACATTTGGTATAAAAAGGAGCAGCTCCAACCCGGCAGCATCAGTCAACAATCAGTCAACATCAGCCAGCACACTTCGTCGCCAGCGCTGGGTCTACGGAGGCATCGGCGCTCTGCTGCGCCAGGCATGACTGCCACGGCTGTCCGGCGGTCACACCCGACTCGCTGGGCAACTAGGCCGCCTCGATTCGCCAGTAGTCATTCCCGACACACTGGGCCACTGGCGTAGCTACTGCCTCTCCGCTCCAGCGACCGCGCTCGACGACCAGACTTCCTCCAACAGCTGCCGCGCTGCGATCAAGCAACCTCCACCATCTGCCGCACTGCGGCCAGTCCACACGCCGCAACCAATATCCCTTCCTACCGGCGCGCGCCGCGCTACTTCAACGGTCAAGCATCTCAGCAACCAACGGTCATTTTCAGGACCTACAACCGTTCCGAAGAAGTGGGTTGTCACTGAAGTAACGATAACGACATGAAACCCCACAATAGTATAATAAAGAACTGTATGATTTGATTCAGTGAATGAAATATATTGCCATGTGACAGAGTGACTATAGAAGGGTTTTGGATTGATGACTTGATTTATTGCACCATGTGATACAGAATATTGTTGGCTCAAATGGACTAGGAAGATGGAATCACAGGGGTCAAATGCTTATTGACTTTTGTGAAAGAAATGGACAGATTATCACCAACACTTGGTTCAAGAAGCCAAAGAGAAGAATTTACACATGGAAGGCACCTGGGGATTGGAGGAGGCATCAGCTGGACTACATCCTTGTGAAACATCGATTCAGAAACAGTGTGAAGGATGTGAAGACGCTGCCTGGGGCAGATATTGACTCTGACCACAACTTACTGGTTGCCAAGAACGGAAGCAGGTTGAAGAAAATTATAAGATTTCAAAAGCACAGGCCTAGATGGGATTTGGAGAAGTTGTATGCTCAAAGACAAAGCATGCAGGAGACCCTAGAAGAGAAACTCGGTGCAATTGAAGGTGAAAGCGGAAATGCTGAAGTGCAGTGGAACAACATAAAAG